CAGGAGAATTGCTTAAATCTGGGAGGCGGAGGTTGCAATGATCTGAGATCACACCAATGCACTCAGCCTGGCAGGCAGAGGCAGACTGTCTTTCAAAAAAAAAAAAAATTGTGAAAAGAAAGCCTCAAAAGAGAATTAAGTTGAGTTTGCTTAATTTTACTGACATGTAAATTAGAAACTATAAAGGCAGAGGCGACAAGGTTGTAAAGGGCATGTGATCGTAAAAGAAGACAAATCTGTGAAAAGGAGAACGTCTGGAAATGGGCTTCCATTTTCATTTAGTTTTGACTCCGCTCCCTGTCTTTCTACGACATCTCTGAGTAGCAAATAAATGGTGAAGGTGAGAAGAAAGCGCCAGAGCCTGAATACCATAAAGATTCCAATTAATCAACCCATCCTAAATCTCATATTTAGAATCATCAGCTCAACTGTACAGGGCTTTATTAGTATTTTATTATGTATTCTAACTCAATAAGACATGTATCTGTGATTCCCTATATGCTAAATTCATTATTGCCTTTCTTACTACCTTCACTTTCTTTCAAAACTGACCTTTCCTAAGTTTTAAAGCTATAATCATGAATTTTAAAACAACAGCAAAGAACCTGATTAATTCATCTGAATGTATTAAACTATAAATGAGAGAGAATTATATCATAATCTGCTACCATTTTATTGTGTTAAGGTACACTTTGTATTTTAATAGCTATCTTCAGGACTTAATGGCTTAATTTAGAGAATAGAAATTTATGGTTGTCTTGAGGGTAATAGTAGATGGTGACCACCATTTTATATCCTTGTAGTGAACTTTGAACTGAAGATCAGACCCACTGTCCTGGTGTCTGGAAGCAGACAAAAATCAGGGAGGACTTTGTAGGCGTCTGTGGGATCCCATGTATCCTGCAGCCTGTCACCTCTCTGCAGGTACCTCAGAGAGCAAATACTACCCATAGGAGTTATAGTGCACTGCTGAGCATTACCTGTCTTGTAAGAGTTCAAGGGTTAAAAAAAAAATTGAAAACCATTGCCTTTCAATTTTTGCTCCTATGCCTATGGCTGCTTCTAGAAATAAGATGTGATAGGCAACATTGAGCACACATTTTGAGAATCCTCCACATTTTCTGTGTTTGTTGCTCTTGTCTTGTTTTGCTTCTCAAACACATATCGTTGAATATTCTATTCAGTAATACTTGTTTCTAAAACAATCTATGAGCAAAATTAAATTACTGAATACACAACTGGCTTATTATCAGAAAGACAAGATTCTGTGTGAAAAGGTACATTTAAAATAATAAGCATACCACGTGTACCCCAGAACTTAAAGTACAATTTTAAAAAAGAAAGAGAAAAAAAAAGTAAACCACAAATGTAAAGTATCAAGTAGCTCTGCAGAGATAGAAAAGAGAAAAAGTCACCTCAAAATAGTCAGGGTTTTTGGAGTAATAGTAATTTCCTTTGGCTAGACTTTTGGCATTATCTGAATGAAAAAGTGACACCCATTTCGCAAGATTAGGTAAAGTTTTTTTGGTCATCGGCACTACCAATTAGTTTATTAATTCATTTATTTTCTTTATTTTCTCACTCATGAACACGTCTTATGTATACATCACTGTAAAAGGCAATGTGGAGGATATGAAAAATACATAACATCTGGTTCCTGGCTTCTGGGAATTATAGAGTAGATAGAGAAAACAATGTATGTTATGGTGACAGAACAAAGTCATAAAGAGAATACCTAATGTGTTGTGACAGTAATTTCAGAGATGGATGAGATCATTGAGTATAAGACCCAGAAGTTAAGGAAGCACCTTGGAGAAAGGAGGACTTGCAGCCAACACAAAAATAAGTTGGGGCCCTGAAAACCCCACTGTTAAGAAAACATGATGCAGTTTCATGTGAAAACCAAAGAAAAGCAATAAGGTAGATATTGTGTCTTCTACATATTGCTTTCATGAAATATTTTTTCTTTATTTACATACCTTTTATCTTCAACATTTTTTCTGACTAGAAAATCAAGTGTAATTGTTTTTCATCCATTCTCAAGAATTTTCCCCAAGCCTTTGAAATCACTCCATCTTTCAGGAATATCTTTGCCAGTGAGTCAGCTTGATGTGTAAAAGGAATTCATGCATAAAGGCTATTAACACAGTCATCATCAAATGTGGTCTGCCACCAGATTTATGTCCAGGCCAACTTTACTCTTTACAATACAATCCATTAACTGTGCATAAACATGTTCAAACAATTTAGATAATGTGGGTAATGGTGAAACTGAGTGATAGCCATGCCCCAGGGTAAAATGATTCAAAACTGGGGGCATTTCGAATTTCCTGTCCAGATGTTAACCAATTGTTTTGATAGCAAATTAAAGATAGAGAGGTAAAAAGGGGAGCATTCCAAATAATTTTCATTGCTAGATATTTTTCTTCCCTAAATGTTCCTGTGTGGCCCCAGAATGGAGCCATTAACATTTTATTCATTTTGCTATGTATATTTTCACACACACACACACAATTTTTAATTTTTTCTTAAAATTATACTTTCTAGTCTATTTAAAAACTATAGGGACATGAACTTTGGACCTTAATTTTAGAATATTTAGCATAAGATTTTATCTAATGCAGTCTTAATTATATAGATGAGAAAATTGAGGACCAAGAGGGTGAAATGGCTTTTCCCTTATCAGACAGCTCTTACTGACTGAGCTGAGGGTATAGCTCCCTAGGGTTTTCCTGCCTTCCTAGCGTTTTCCAGCTCATTAAGCTGGACTGGGTTAGAAACAGTTAATTCTTACCTTATTGTTCTGTTTAGATATATATGAGGTGGTGATGAATAAATGTCCCATGATTTGCTACATTATTTAGAAGGTTCTGAATAAGAGAAAGTTTCTTACATTTTTCCTATTGTTGAAGTTCACTCTCAAACTTGAAGATAACTTGCTGCTTCAGTTGTACTAATACAGATGTTAATAATAGTGACTATATTGGGTGCTCACTATATGCCATGCACTGTACTGCACACTTTATTTGCATCTCAGTTAACCTTCACACTAGCCTGGAAAAGACTGAGTTTACTTTTAACCATGAGAGAACTGAGATTCCTCAAGTTGAGTCATTACTTGCCTAAGGTCTTATAGCTAATGAATGGCAGTACTAAAACTTGAACCCTGGTCATCTGACTCTAAAATATATTTGGATGCACTTGCAAACACAGACACTAAATCAAAAAGTATTCCCATTGGCACACAATACGTATGAAGAGATTTAGGTGATAAATAATAGAGATGCTTGTGGTCTGGATGGAGAATGTCTTTTTAACCTATAAATATTGAATTTCAGACTGGACCATATTCAAAGGCAGTGTATAGAGTAGTTAGGAACTCGGGTGTGGGCCCAGATTGCCTGGGTTCAAATCTCAGTTCTACACCAGATGTCCTGTGACTATGTGACTGTAGATAAGTCGGCTTACCTCACTAGGTCTATTTCCTCACCTGAAAACAGCAGGTAACTCAAAGATTACTGGGAGGATTAAATAAACTAATGCTTATAAACTGGGTTTTAAAAGTTTCCTTTTGGTTTCTTGTGATCTAGCTTCATGATTACAAGTGGATAGGAGGCCTAGAAATAATGATCAATATGTTTACAGAACTATCTCAGATAAACTGTAATAATCCATGACTTTTTCTTAAAATTAGATAATTCCAAGCACCAAAACATTGCTTCAATCATCAAACTATTCTAATAAATAACTCCTAAAGTTGAATAAACAATTTAGAACAGCACTTCAAAAATATTTATCACTAAAAGAAAACTTCACAATGTGCTTTCTGTAAATGATATGTAGTTTATGCTAACGAGAGGGAACTCTGTAGCCAAGCAGCAGCTTGAACCTGAGTCAGTCATTTTCTGTCTTTATAACCTGGGCTAGCTCTTCAGTATGTATGACATCTGTTTTCTTCTCTGTAAAATAGATGATGATAATAATTCCTACTTCACAACAACACTGTTTTAAGGAATAAGTACATATAAAACATGCAGAAATTTGCCGCAGAATAAATGCTGTATAAGTTGTAGCTACATTATTGTTCCATATTAACTGCCAAGTTTCAATTGGGCCTACTGAAGCCTGTGACTACAGGAAGGTATGTATACACTGAGATATCTACTCAACTTGTATTGAGAAAGACCACTCAGGCTTTATAGTCTTAAACATGTTACTCTGCTATAATCCCTTTTTTTGTTGAGACAGAGTCTTGCTCTGTTGCCCAGCCTTCAGTGTGTAGTGGCATGATCTTGGCTCACAGCAACCTCTGCCTCCTGAGTTCAAGCAATTCTTCTGCTCAGCCTTCCGAGTAGCTAGTACTACAGGTGCCTGCCACCACATCCAGCTAATTTTTGTATTTTTAGTAGAGAGGAGATTTCACCATATTGGCCATACTGGTCTTGAACTCCTGACGTCATGATCTGCCTGCCTCAGCCTCCCATAGGGCTGGGATTACAGGTGTGAGCCATGGCACCCAGCCTGCTATAGTCCATTTAAGTCTATGAGCCTTATAATAGGTTGTGTTTTGTAGGAAGTAGACTCCAAAATGAGGTTCAGCTCTGCAATGAAAACCCAATTACAGTCTCAGCCAAACCTAGTAGGGGAAGAATTTTGGAGCAAGAATTGCCTTTTAGAATTTTTTCTGAATTGGGTCAACATGTCAACATGGCCAACATATAACAGTTTCTGATGAAAACCATCCTTGGAAAGAGCTTGGCAAGACAGCTCCTGGAAGATAGGCAATGACCAAAGGCATTGACAACTGAACACTGTCTGCCTACTACATTTCCAGTAGCTGGGTAATGTCTCTCATATAGGGGGGCCTAGGAGGCCTATGACAGTGTCTATCACAATACTTTATAAATTCATTATAAATTAGATTTATAGTCTAGTAGCCAGCTTGGTAACATGTCTAGTTATCTTACCTTGGTCCTGCTAACTTACTACTCAGAAAATACATCCATCTGTTAATTCAAATTCCAATGCTCTTATTCTTTACTTAATTCATATTTTATAAACACATGTACATTGTGTATTCCTTCTTGAAAAACTGAAAATTATACCGCAGATTATAATTGTTATTCTACAAAGGCCTACCTACAACGTAGATATAAATAATTCTAACTATCTCTCCAGCAGTAAAAATATAAAGTAAAAGACTTTAAATCTCTTTAGTGAAATGTATCCGTTTTTAAAGATTAGAAATTATGGTTATATGGACTGGAGACATGAAGAATGACAGATGGCTCAACTATCTTGAGGTGCATGAAGATTTATTAAATGAACTACCTAGAATGTTTTTAGGGCATAAAAGGGTCTTTAAAGTGATGGTAATTTTGCTACTATTATTATTTTTTAACTTAAAATGACTTCCCTTGGAGTCTGAGTGTTGATCCAATGATAGAGAATATTGTTTGAAGTAAGACAACTTAGTTCTGCAGTGTTCCTGGCATGGAGGTGGCATGCTCAGGAAGATCATTAAGTAGAGCCTCAGAACATGAATGGTTATGGTTGTCAGGATATTTTTGTTTCTCTATAGTTCTTTATTTCCTGTAGTTCAATAAGTTGCTCCTCTAAGGCAACTCGTTTTTACACCACATTTTTCTTTGTTTTATACCCAAGTTAAAATGTGTATGCTTTAAAAATCGTGATTAAATTCAGGTTTGTTCAACTGAATTTAACTAATACCACTTTTCTTAGAGAGGAACAGTCCAATATAGATTTTTCTGAAGACCTTTTACTGCATGGCCAACAATAGTACTTGTCAATACTAGAATTTGGTGGAGGAAGAGGAGTATGTAACCTACATACAGCAAAGTACAAAATATAAATTCACAACTCAATAGGTTATACCAGAGTGGAAACCCAGAAAATTATAATCCAGTTCAAGATATCCAGTGTTCTAACACTAAGGTAAAATATTAAATAGTGTTATCAGTGGCTATTCATGGCATTGTCCTAACCTCAAAAATAAAGTTTTAACATTAAAATTGAAGTATAATGTTTGCTTTGGATTTTTTGTAAATACGTCTTAAAACTTTGAAGAGTTCCTTTTTATTCTTGGTTTGTTAAGTATTTTTATATCAATAAATAATATCATTGAAGTTTTTTGCATCTATTGATATAATTGTGTACTTTTTCTTCTTTATTCTGTTAAAGAATTATATTATTTTTGTTGAATATTAAACCAAATTTTAATTCTCAGAATAACCTCAATTTGTGATTTAATGTTCTTTTATATATTGATGGATTTCATTTGCTACTATTTTATTTAGAATTTTAGCATGTATGGTTGTGAGATTGGACTCTAGTTTTCCACTGTGATAACTCTTGTTAAATTTTATTGTCAAAGCTGATACCATACCAAGCAAGAATAATTTATGTAAGATTATGTTTTTCCTAAATACATGCTGGAATTCGTAGTTTAAAAACCTTTTTTTTTTTTAAGGGTTTCAGTTACAGATTTATTTTATTTTATAATTATAAAATTATTCTGTTTTTTTCTTTGTATATGGCTTTTATGTATTATTTTTCTGGGAATTTGTTTATTTAATGCAAATTTTGCGGAGTTATAATTAATCTTACTTGTTTATGACATTTTCAGTATCTGATGAAGTTACATCACACCCCCTTTTTCCTTCCTGATCTTAGTTACTCTCTGCCATCTCTTTTTGTCTCACTATGCCCAGGAATTAATATAATTATAATCTCTGTTTTTTAAGAGCTGCTGTTTTGCTTCACTTTTTATTGGATTAATTTCTGCTCTTATGTTTGTTATTTTCTTCCTATTACCTACTATATTTTTAATTTAACTTTTTTCTTGTTTGGATAATTTCCTTTTTTTTTTTTTGAGACGGAGTTTCGCTCTTGTTACCCAGGCTGGAGTGCAATGGCGCGATCTCGGCTCACCGCAACCTCCGCCTCCTGGGTTCAGGCAATTCTCCTGCCTCAACCTCCTGAGTAGCTGGGACTACAGGCACGCGCCACCATGCCCAGCTAATTTTTTGTAGTTTTAGTATAGATGGGGTTTCACCATGTTGACCAGGATGGTCTTGATCTCTTGACCTGGTGATCCACCCGCCTCGGCCTCCCAAAGTGCTGGGATTACAGGCTTGAGCCACCGCGCCCGGGCTTTAATTTCTTAACGTTGGTATGTAGTGTACTGATTTCAAAACTTTCTTTCTCATGTATACATTAACAAAAATTTGAATTTCCCGCTAGACTACATTACACAAGTTTGAAAATATAATATTTCTTTCCAATTTTAAACATTTGAAAATATTTTCTAATTGTGATTTATTCTTTGATACTTTGTCTTTTTATACAACTATGTATTAATCTTTGCATAGAAAAATATTTCCTAATTACCTTTTTGTATTTAGTGATTTCTAGCTTAATTGCACAATTGTGAAACAATATACTCTATAATTTCTATAATATTTATTTAGTATGTAATATTTATATAATATTTCTATTACAATTTAAATTCTTTGGGATAAAAAGAATTTTCCATTATGCAAATATATGACCAATATTTACAATTGCATCACCGGTACTGGAAAAATTTATGCATTCTACAGTTATTGGGTGCAATGTATATTAATTAGGTCAAATTTGTCAATAATGTTCCCTAAATCTGTATTTATACTGTCTATATAAATCTATATATTTTTCCCTTAAATAAAATATAAATTATATAGTGCATAAATATATATTATTTATACATATGTGAAAACAGATGTCCATATATTTTTTCCTCAACTCTATATATTTGTACTGTCTTCATTTGGAAACATATTTTGACCTCTTTACACTGTTTGACAAAGTTAACTGCTATCTAATGTCTGTAATCTCTTCATTTAGGTCTTTAGTTTTTACTGCTGCATTGAGTTTCCTCATTTGTTTTTCTCTATACTTGATCCCTAAAAAATATATTCCATTTTATTTTTTCCAATTGTCTTCAATATGCCGATTACTACTAGATCAGTATTATCAATATATTTTTTACTGACTTACAATCCCATATACCCAGCTTCTTAATTTTGATATTCTACAGATCCCTCAAATTCAAGGTGTTCAAAATTGAACGTATCATTTGCCCTCATTCTTAGATTTTTATGGCAATAATGGACATCAATGTCTACTAAAATGCCCTACTCCAAAACTTAAATATTACTCATGATTACTTCATTGTCCACTTGTACAATTAATAATCACATATTTATTGAATACCTGTTATGTATCTGGCACTACGTTTGATAAAGAATGGAGGCAGAGAAATTCTAGGCAGATAGGGGCAGGTCCCTGGTGAAACCTCACCTTCAAGCCAAAGTAGCCTGAAAATTGAGGCCCAAAGTGAAAACTTTTATTTCTGTTTGCTTACTGTCTCAATTGGTTTTTCCAAATAATGTCTTTACCGATCAAATGTTGCCTTTTCCAAAACTACCTACTGCCCACTCTGCCCAGGCTATCCTGTTCCTATAAAGACCTCAGACTCAGTCAGGAGGGGAGAGAGGCAGCTTGCTTTCAGAGAGGCAGCCTGACTTCAGCCAGACAGCTTGACTTCAGGGAAGAGCCAGCTGGACTTCATGGAAGAGCTGGCTAGAGTTCAGGAAAGATTACCTGCCCATCCTATCCCCTCTCCAGCTTCCCTCTCCACTGAGAACCATTTTCATCACTTAATAAAATTCTCTGCCTTCACCATCCTTCAGATGTCTGTGTGACCTCATTCTTCTTGGACACTGGACAAAAGCTCTGGACCCACCGAGTGCAGGTACCCAGAAAAGGCTGTCATATTGGCCATTTGCCCTCACTGGTGGAGGGCAGCTGCCCCATGTGACAAGGCAAGTGCCCAGCTGACCTGATACACTGCTGTCCATGGACTGTGGAGCTAAGAGAGCACTATAACATGGGGTGCATGCTTTAGGATTGCAGGCACCCCCACCTGGGCACCACCACACAGAGCTTGCTCCAGTGTCACTACCCAGAGAGGCTGGCTAGGTACCACACTCACTGGTACACATGCTCCCTCACACAAGGGGTTGAGCATTGTAGGTCAAGAAAACATTTGCCCCTGTCATGAGTCCAACAAAGGGCCTAAGAAAATCCTGCATCACTTTAATTATCAGTTAAATTCTATCTCTTTTATATTTCTTAAATCACTCTTTCCTTTTATTCCTGCAATTGATAACATATTTTTTCTTACGCAAATGTTCTTATCATTTGTCTTCACCAAAATAACTTTTGTCTTTCAGATACTTCCTTAGATATCAGTTCCTCTGGGAAAATTAATCTGTGTTCTAAGACTTCTCTTGAGCTGACAGACCCTGTTTTATTGCTACCTCTGCAGCCATTGCTACAAACATCAACATTTTTCTGATATCCAAGTCTGTTATATACTTTCCAAAGTTCTATAGAAATAGGTCACAATAACTTTCTAAATTGAGAACTCCCTTGAGCTTTCTTGCTTTATTCCAGTGTCACTAAGGCCAATAAAATGATAAATGAAGAGAGTTGTGATTTGAATCAGGAGTTCTGGAGAGAGATATAAAATCTCTTATTTCAGCTTTTATCTTTTGTGTCTCTATGTGTGTGAGTCCTGTGTACCAAGTTTCCAGACAGGTGGTCACACCCTGGAAGGGATCTTGGCCAGAGCATCAAAGAGTTTTATAAATATGTATTTGATGATCTTTGAATTATGATCCTGAGATCAATATTTCATTGCTCTCTTTTGATATCTTTTTAGTAGGGAAATAGGAGAAAATCCTAAGAGATACCAGGAGGCAGCTGCAGATTTTTCAAAGGCTGAGACAGCAGGTTTTAAAACTCATGGGTTTGAACCATATACTCATTAATGTATGGAATATTTTGGAATGATGCCCCACAAAACAAGTGTGGTGTCCCTACTTGGAATCACTATAGCCATTTTTTACTCCAACTTTAGAACTCATCACATTCTATGTGAGCTGAGTGTTTACCTACAGCTTTGTCTGTTAGTCACGGCTATTCGCTTATAAAGACTTCACATTATTCCCCAATTATATTCTCAATGCTTAGAAGAATATCTAGTACAATGCAGGTGTTAGGTAAAAATGTTGAATTTAGTTGATTCTAACAAAAACATAAGAATAGAAATATTACTGGCTTTAGAAATCAAGAGGAATTCGATACAATCACTAAAAAATTTTGGGCCTCAGCTTTCTATTCTTTTTTTTTTTTTTTTTTTTTTTTTTTTTTTTTTTTTTGAGATGGAGTTTCACTCTTGTTACCCAGGCTGGAGTGCAATGGCGCAATCTCGGCTCACTGCAACTTCCGCGTCCTGGGTTCAGGCAATTCTCCTGCCTCAGCCTCCTGAGTAGCTGGGATTATAGGCATGCGCCACCATGCCCAGCTAATTTTTTGTATTTTTAGTAGAGACGGGGTTTCACCATGTTGACCAGGATGGTCTCGATCTCTTGACCTTGTGATCCACCCGCCTCGGCCTCCCAGCTTTCTATTCTTTAAAAGAATTTTGGAAGAGATTATTTTTAATTTTATTTCGGCTTTGACAAATTATAAGGCTAAGAGGCTCAGCTGAAGTCATCAGGACCTGTCTTACTCTATTTCTGAATTATACTTTCTCTGGGATGACAAATTTTTGTGTTTTGACTGCAACCCATGTATGAGGTCAAGTATGGAATTTTCCACTTGTGGCATCATGTTGGCAAATCAAAATATTTCAAATTTTAGAGCATTTTGATTTTCAGATTTTTGGAGTTGGGATGCTTAATCTATAATACATTTCTTCTTAAAATAAATGATTAAAACTTTATCTCAGCTTAAGGTAGGAAGACCTAGATTAGTGTCCTATTAAAGTCTTAGCTCTGCTTATGGTTTTTGAAAAATATCTGAGAAGCATATTTATAAGACTTCTAGTCCCCTCAATCTCCTACAATGTATATTTACATTAATACATTTTCTTACATTGAGAAAAATGTGTTGCATGTATTTATTCAATAAAATAGTTTGGGGGAATAAAATGTTTTATATCAGTAATTTACATTTGCACCATCTATTTCTGACTATCCTGTAATTTATACATTTTGTTAAAGAATGACAGATATTGATAATATGAGCTCAAGGCTATTTTATTCTATAGATATTTTGATAACATCCATGTATACGTTCCACCAAATGGAAATTAAGTCAAATTGTGACTGATATATAAATGGATCAATGAATGCAAATAAAATCAACAAATGGTAATCAGGCTTGCATTATAGCAGAAGGTTAACCTGGCAAAGACCTTAAAGGAATGTTTTCCCCTGGGGAGAAATATCATTAATAGACAAATTAGTGCATATCAGCCTGCAGCAAATAAACATTTTTTACCTTTCTCAATTGGCTGGAAGTTGTCTGGAACAGTGTGAAAATACCACAAAAAATATTTGAGAAAAATAATGTGATATCTTCATCTTATAGTTAAAAGAATTCATTATGTGAACACAGGATGCAGAATGTGCAAGACATGGTGGCATAAGCTTTATGACAAAGCTATTGAGGGCTGAGTGAGAAGACATATCAATATAAACCATGGTGTAAGTCAGCTGCTTCAAAGCTTGGACAATTTTGGGCTAGATTAATTAATAATAGATGATTCCCTTGTACAATCATGGAAGCATATATATATTTTATAATATTAAATGTAAAAATTAAAATCCACAAATAGGAAAAATGATACGACCTAAATTAATAAACATTTCACTGGTATAATATAGTTATTGAATGGTAGCTATGGAAATACACAGAGAAGATCAGATCTTGATGTAAGCTTAGGGTATGAAAACTGAAAGCAACACTTTAGATGTCTTAATATTGCCTCTAATTTCAGGTTTCCAGAATATAAAGATGGGAAATTATGGGTGATATATTTTCATTGTTAGATGAAAGAACCAAACCATCAGGAGGAAATACTGTTTTCTATAAATTGAATTTCACCTAAATTTATCATAGCTCTTTATAGAAGGAAAATTAGAAAGCAGTAACATTTTATGATTATATAACTTTAAAACTGCACATTTTCAAAAAGGAGCCTCAAATTTTATTTAAGCTTTATGAATGAAAAGCTGTTATCATGCAAACTGAAGGCTGCTTTTCTACCAGTTTATGGTATACAAGGGAATGGAGAGAAAGGAAAATATCTGTGAGTTTCTCTGATATGCCTATCATAATGAGCATGCGTGTTTGAGTTTTTTA